TATCTGCGGCCTTGTTTGCACACTGGGCACGTACCAATATTAAGGTAAATAAACTAAGTCAACTTGAATCAGTTAACATTTTAAGCACCAAGTGGCTACCCAAAGTCAAATGGATTTGCTTTAATTCTCCGTCATTTTATTACCTGGAATGAATACTTCATCAGCCTTGGCTTCTAAGCGTTTTAAGAAAAAGATTCTTACGAATATTTGTATTTTTGTTAACTTTCTGAAGTAGCTCAGGGAACCATGTCTACTGAAACATTTCTTTTCTTGACAAATTTCCTTCTAACAACAGGCCTTAATCTTATTAATATTCATTCTCGCTTCCATGTGTTTCCTGGAAATAAAATCTGCCATTACACCTGTGTTTATTCTTTCTGAAAGGTGAGTCTGCTATCCCAAGGCAGTCAACCTTCCAGTGTAATTTCTTCTCTGGGGTTACAGCCCCAAAGATACAGATGTGCAATTTATCTTCAGCTTTTAGGCATCTGACAGGAGATCAAAGCAGATGCATCAAAACACTCTTTGAGAAATACCAGCTCTTCCTTAGGGGGAGAAAAACAACCAACCAACCCTCAAGCAATAAAATTTCCTATGGACAAACTTCAGAATCACTCTATTTAGGGATGAAACGTACTGAGTAACTCCTGGGAAATTCTCATCTTGCTCTCACGAGAATTGCTGCTTTATGCCCCCAGAGCTTTCTGCATGCATCCACCACGACGATGCATCACCCCTTTTTCTTACACAGGCCCCTCATGCCCTTCTCCGGCACCATGATTATCTTCCTCTCAGATACATGTGCAAACACCTGCAATTCTGTATTAAGACTCCAAGGCTGCTCAGCCACTCGCCCCCAAACCGTTTTAATTTTTTTATAAGGCAGCCTCCTTCCCATTTCATCCTCACTGTTAAGAAGCACTGCTCATGCACTGGATCCCTCTCACCCTTGTTGAAATGATCTTTTCCACTCTATCCTTCACATACTTGTAGCAAGCCTACACAAAAAAAACCTCAAGTAAAATATATTTTCTCCACTTCATTATAAACCCATCCTTGACGCTGTTAGCTAGCTCCTTGTCCTTTTCTCAGGCTCTAAATAAAAATTCCCAGTGCCTGTGTTTGCTTCCATTTCCTTCTATGTCCTTCAACTTTCTGAAATCCCATTCCTTGTTACGCATTATGCTTACGCTCCTATTCTTTTTGAACTGCTCCCTGGGGAAACTGGTCAGCACCCAAGAACTATGCACTGAACCTAAGTAACTGAAAAAAAATGGAGAAAAACATTTTAACATATAATTGGATTAAAACACCTTTAACCTAAAAAAATTACTAGACTATTACAAACTTTTAAGAAGTTATTAAATCTCATGCCGATTTTCCCATTATTACTATTGCTTTTTTTTTCCTCCAAAGCACTGCCAAATGAGGATAATTCAGCTGAGCTGGTTATAAAATAAAGAGGCTAAAAATTACTACAAATTAGCAATAAAATTAGCTAGTAGCATCTTTTCATTTCTTCTGATTTTCATACCAAAAAATATACTGTAAGTATAAATGACAGAAACGTGTCAAAGTCCAATTAAGCAATCTTCACTAGCTTTTCATCAGTCAATTCTATTTGATCAGGAATCGGAGCATTTTATAAATACTCTTGTGCACTACACAAAACGCCTATTCAGATTTGACGTCCATTTTCTTTTCTGGTTTTGAAAATTTGGTCTTTTACCCCATTTTCTGAGCTATTCACTGCATTTCCGTATAATGTGAATTTAAAAAGATATTGCTACAACTTCCCCCCCTTTCCTCTTTGACCAAATTTATGGTCAAGTACAAAACATTCAGAGCAAATAATTACTGACCTGACTGAAAGGTCTCACTCAAACTGCCACTTTCACACTGTCAACATCTGGCATTTTTTTAAGCTTTCATTCAGTCATGAACACTCCCAAGGAGAAAAATATCCAAGTGCATGCAAGTGCTTCTCTAGAATGACCTGTTCTGAGACAGAAAAATCATGGCCCCAGAAGAAACCTCTTTTACAAGCTTAGACTGTTATTAATACATTCATCCATTATGTACAAGGCATTAGTTAACCAATAAATTATTTCTTAGAGTAACTGTAGTAGTTTTTACTAACTGAAAAGTTTAATGTCAGGTTCCACCATTCTGTAGTCTGCAAAGTTGCATCCATATATAAATTATCATACATAAAAATAATCCGTTGTCTAAAAGACTGCACATCAAAATACTACTTCCATGTCTGCTTTTAAAAGAATAGGTTTTTGAATTTATTTTTACAAATTGAAGCTTTATAGGGACATTTACTCCATAACCCAAGACTATTAATGAAATAATTATTCAAAAATATGTTTTGTAACTCAGAATTCTGTACATTTTTGTACCTTTTTCAGACCATTATGTTAGCTTTACCATCAGGTTTTCAGTGCTGTGATAGGCAGGCTTCAAATATTGCAAAATATGTTTACAGACAATAATTATTTCAATTACAGTAGCACTCCTATTAACCTTATGAAAATAATTTTGGCTCAAATTTCTAAGTATGTGGGTAACATCCCTTTAAATTTGATATGCTATTGTAACCATCACACCCTCTATACAGTTAATTTTTTGCTGACAAATTATAAAAAATAGTGAAACATCTGAGGTGTGACCTAGTTTTATGAACTAAAGAGCAGCTTTGCCAAAGTTTAAGACAAATACAAAAAAATATTGCACAGCTTAAAATACAATTGTTTACATTCTGACTTCAATACAGTACAACTTAACCGTGAATGTAAGGAATTCCAGTTTGTATTGTGAGCCCAATTATTTGTGCCAGAAAGTCAAACATCATTTACCAAATTTAAACTAGTATGTTTTAAATGTTTACTTGTTATAGGAGTTCTAAGCAAACTCTTAAAAAGCTTAAAAAGCTTTTGGCCTCACTTTTCAGGGTCAGCAACTCTTGCAAACCAACGTTAAAATTTCTGAGCAATACAGGCCATTCAACCCACTATTCCCTCAAAAAGCTATCAGACAGTAAGCATATCGTGAAGTATACATTTTTATTTAACATTCCTAAAATAAGCTGTATTTACATATTATATAAACGTATGAAGTCTTAATATAAAATAGAAAACTGCATTGACTGAGGAAATCACACTCCATATGGAGTTACTTATTGAAGACCATTTGTTTATGAAATTTTACAATAATTTATATAAATTATCTCTTCCAAATTAGATTATTTTTTCTTTTTACTAGTCCACACAATTTTGATGACTTTACAAACAGTGGTGTACATTACAAACTTAAAAAACAGTTACAGCATCTTCCGGCGCAAAACTGGCTTTGGAAAATTAGACAGTCTTTTTTTGTTCTTTCGTAGAGTCTTCTCTGCCACGTCTGCAGTTTCTTTCTGTTTGCTTTTTGTTCCATCCACTGGACTTCCAAAAGGAGAGATGAATTTTATTTCCACTGGTGGAGGTGACCAAGAACCTTCTTTTCTTGTGGTTCCAAAGAGAAAGAGAAGTATCAAATTGATTTTTTGGGGTTTTTTTACTACCAACAGTATTTAGTAGAGGGAAAAAACCCCATGAAATTACAAAATCAGTGCCAAAGAATTATTTATGGGCTTCTTTCTAGATAGGATCAAGGCAGAAAAGGTACATAAATAAGCTTCCTTTTGCTTCCATTCCTTACCTTACTGTCCCAAGCATTCTCAGTCACTACTCTCATGAGCTTTTAGAGCCCCCCACCCCAGCTTTAGAGGCAAATGTCCGCAGACAGTTTTCCAGGAAGAACCAGAAAACATGTCCAGAAACAAGAAGTTCTCTTTACTCATTGTCTGAGACCCTCCTGCCTTGTATGGGGAACCAAAGACCATAAGAGTGTGGTTTCGTAAGGAATAAGACGACAATATTAAGAGCACGCCATCATTGCAAAGAGTAGTATCCACTTGCCCTTTTCTATCCTCTCCCTCTTCTGTTTCCATTAGAAAACTGAACCGTTAAGTGGGGAAAAAGGTGCCTATTAGACGAGCAAGCTGGACAAGCTCGTAAAGTCAGAGCAGAACTGCACAGCCAAGTGAGGAAGAGGAAGTTAGGTGGCTAACAGATGAATCACTACCACAATAAAGGAACGGGAATAAGTGTTCAAAAATAATTTCATACTTGCTTGCTTTCTTCGTTTTTGATTTTGCAGTTCTCCCTCTCTTCAATTTTTGCTTTCCCACAGACTCTATGGATTTGGTATCCTCATCCTCTTTAGTTGGAAGCTCCTATGTTAAGGAAACAAAAACGTTACTCATGCACAGGTTCTTACACTTCTGCAGAATACCAATGAATGTTTCTTTCATAAAGAAGTCACGACAAAGTTATTTCCAAAAGCATTACAGTTTCTCTCCGCAAAAACAAACCTTCCATCTCAAATTATTGTACCATCCTAATGGTTAAAATTCTGAAATTGACAGGTAACACACCAAGTAAGTTTAAAAAAGGCCACTGTGCCTTTTGTTAAAGGCAAAGCAATATTTATTAATTCTTGACTTACATAGATTCAAATTTGATTTTTGTAGCTAGTTTTCATGAAGGAAAAAAGAACATCATTTAGCCGATTAATTTAAAGCTCTCTTTTTAGATATGCTTTCAAGGAGAAAGGCAAGACATTGCAAAGTATGATGTGAAAAAGCAATACAGAAAAAAAAAAAAAATCAGGAACGTCAGACAACTGGAGTTTCTACTTACTGGTTCTTTCACTATTCGGAAAATGCTAGATACATTTTTTCTCCTTGACCTCAAAAGAGGGGGTGAAAAGACAAATTGAGAAGACAAGTCCGGGTCTAAATCCTTAAGCTGCACAGGATGGTCTGCTTTTCCAGCTAAAATGACAATGTACTGTTAACATGCATGTACATTACACATAAAGGACAATGACGTTAAATTACAGCTGATAATCAAAACCACAATAGCTTCCTGAAATAAAAAGTCCAATCAGGTTTATAAACACTCAGTGTGGAGGTATTTTTCCCCTAGTAACTGCCTCTTGGGATCCGTTCTTTAACAGTAAATTGTGAAACAAAAATAAGCCAGTGTAGTGATTTTACTTGCACTTATATAATCAAAGATATTATGCTCAAGAGGCATCAACTGTCCTTACACATCTCAAAAAAATTCTTATAACGTAGTCTAATAAAAAGAACCTAAGTGCAGTAACTTCACTAACAAAGTATATGCCCATAAAAAGCAATCACATAATTAAACAGCTGTATGGTTTGTTGCAACATGCAGCTCATCTTAAGTTAAAAACTGAACAGAATTTGGAAGCATGTCTCCTTTATTTCTCCACTGGGGGGAGGGGATGGCAATCACATATTAACAGATACCCTCCAGTTTTCGGAATTGATAGAAATTAAGCTCATGACAAAAAATCAGATTACATTTCACTTCACTTTACTCGGCTCAGCCTCTTCATCTGTTTCCACCACAACTAGTCAGCGAGTCATATAGAGTACAGAAAAAAGACAAATTGCCTCTTTCCAAATTTTTTATTTTGCATGGTTACATTCTTCACAATACTTAAAGCCATCCTTGCAGTCTGTTTTACGTAGTTTACAAGACAGCAGTATGCCCTATTTTGTGTATGAACACAATGCACCTACCTTTAAATTTCTTCGTCAGCTTTGTGAGAGGAGGAGAGAAAAGGAAGGACTTGTTTTCCTCAACAGACAGTTTCTGATGCATGGCAGTTTTGCGGGATCTGGTTCTTGTAACACGATCTGTTAAAGTTCTTGATGTTTCATCACGTCCTGACGGGTTTATGTCTTCAAGCAGCAAAGGACTGCCACCAGGTCCTTGGGG